ACAAAAACGAGATTCATCGCTAAAGAGTACTTTGCTCCAGTCTGCGTAAGTCCAGTCTCTATGCTCAACTGCAAAATTGAGTCGAGCTACGCGATGGTGACATTTAAGCAAAGGTATAGCTGCTGGCCTGCGCGAAAGCAGATTTTGTTCCTTTAATTTTCTCCGAACGGTGTTAATGGATACATTAATGTTGCGGACATCCCTTAAATTGTTTCTAATTTGAACAGATGTTCGATGTCTGTCTCTTAACGAATTTGAAACAATAAATCGGTCATCATTGTGATTGGTACAACGAGAACGTCCCGAACCAGGCCTTCTATGGAAAGAATTGGTTTGTAAGTATCTGGCATAAGCACGTTGCACAGTTGACACTGACAAATCAAGTGCCTGAGCAACGTACCTTCGACTTCTGCCATCTTCAATTAAAGCAATAACTTGAGCAGCCTTTTCAGGATTTATCGTCGCCATAATCGACGCAATAATTTCGATGCGAAACAATCAATTATGGTTTAAATTGATGAAGTTGCACGAAACAACGTGCCTCGAAAGGAAAAGATCACGGAAAAAGAAAAGTCGCACGAGGCAGCGCTTATCGGAGTGAACACGTTCGGAAAAGGAAAATTGTTTGTCTTTGTTTATTGTCTTGGCACATACATTTAAGAAAAATCCAGTCAAGCCAGGCGTTAAAGCCCGGCGCACCGACAGAATCTCAGTCAAGCCAGAACGTAAACCCGGCATACTGACAAACTCGCGAAGTCCAGCGTACAAGAGATAGTGCCACTATCGGCGGTGGACCGTACGAGGGCCAAAAGCTGTACGAAGGCAATCTCTGATCGTCTCTGCGGGCACTCTTATATGCCCTGGGCAGCTCGAACTCGCGTGCGAGCCGAGGGGCTCGCGCGTGCGACAACCCAGATCGCCGCGGCTCCGTGGACTAGGAGCGCCAGGGAATTTCGACGTTCAGGTGGCGTCCAGCGACTCGGCATCCCGCGCGCCGGGTCACCGCGAACTCAGGCGCGATCCTGAACAGCATATTCAAGCTGTGCACCATAATGGCCAATCGTACGAAGAAGGTAGAGAGCTAGGGACAGCTTCGCGAATTAAAGTGTATGCCACAGTGATCATGCGTAACTGAAGGGTAAAGAATGATAACTTTTGATAAAAATTAAATTTCCAATTCGTAAAATTGTGTAAATTATTGTATAGAGAATAATGAACGCGGCTATTGAAATTATGAAAGAGCCAAACGTACCGCAGAGCCTCTTAGCCCCTTAAGCCTCGCTGAATCGACATTTGTTGCAAATTCGAAATTGAATATCTCGACACCTAAATATCCTAGCAGCAAATTTCAAAAACGGTTTGAAAGCTTTGAAACCGTACTTTTCGAAAGATCTATCGAAATTGTGCGCAACGATATTTTTTCAAAATGGCGGGTGATAAAAAGGAGAACATGAAAAGTTGCTAAAAAAGGTTCGAGCGTGCGACGGCGCATGGAGCAAAGTAAGTGTCGCAGCTCAATGGGACGAAAAGTACCTGAATGTATAGAATGTTTTCTTTAAAATACTTCGTTATAGAGCTTGATGCGATACTTATTCACTGAATTATGCAAATTTAACAAGAAAACCGCATTTTTAGCAAAATTTGGAACAACTCAGTGAAAAATGATCACATCGAGCTCGGTAAAGTAGCATTTTAAAGATAACACTTTATACTTTCATGTACATTTGGTCCCATTACGCTGCGATACCTGATGCACACCATGCACCATCGCAAACACGGACCTTTGATTATCAATTTTGCATCCTCTCACTTTATCATCCGCCATTTTGAAAAAAATGGCCGAGCATAATTGCCATTCAGATATTCTTAAAGAGAACGTTTCAAGCTTCAATTTGCATTTCTGCGCATATTTGTATCTTCATTATTTACCAAGTTATGATCATTTGAAATTTTGTAATTTTTTCCTAAATTTTTAGTGTACCGGGTTTTTTGCGTTTGAGTATATATGCTATCTCATTATGTAGGACTGATCTTGTTCCTCTTGTTACGCAATAAAATAACATATGCTATGATTCTTCCGCTTTTGATTCATGATACATTCTCCTTCGCATAGGAGCCTTTGCTAATCTTTTCAGAATCTGTCATTTTAATATAAGGTAGACTCATCACTTTAGTAAGGCAAAGATTTAAAAATATATTCTTTTGCAATTATTGTACACAAGATAGGTCTTATTTTGAATTGTACACAAAATAACTCCTATTTTATGTACAATAATTATAAAAGAATATATCTTTAAATCTTCGTCTTATTAAATTAACGAGTCTACCATACATTAAAATGACAAATTCTGAAAAGATTAGCAAAGGCTCCTATGCAAGGTGACATGTGACACAATTATTTACATAAATATTCTTAATTTAAATATTTTTATTTAGTTATACTGCACTACACTAATACAATAAGTGTAACGAACAGACTTTACCTTGCAATGACAAGTTTCTTAACCTATCATATTCTATCTTAAACAATATTTTTCACGCTTTATAGAGCCGAGCAATGATTTTTAATTCAGATTCGGCTTCTACACGTGAAAATACATAAAATATGTGAGTTTTAGCAAAATCGAAGGCGGCGTGCCTCTTCTAAATAATTATCAATTATGCTATTAATTAAAAACTAAGATTTACAATTCTGTATGTATATTGTGATTGTATATTTTACTTACATATAATTACTTTACACAATTGTAAGTTGCTGAAGACATTTTTCTTTTCGCTCTATACCAGCTCCATGGCTAATTCATTGCTGAAGATTTGTCTCATTAATCTTATACACGATGTTTTTAATTCCTCGCATACATCTCGAACCAATTATTTAATCTGAAATGTAAGTACAGAGTTAATATTAGTTCAATATTTCGTCTAATGACATTTATTAATTTATATATATTATGATTCTATGGATCCTCTCTGAGACTATCTTTATTTAATTATGTCAAAAGTGAGAAATTGTACGACAAAAATTATTACAGCATACGTTAAAATAAAAAGATATGCCTATTAAACAACAGTTTCTCTTCCAATCGAGTCAAAAAAATATGTAAAATGTTCCGAGTATTTTCCTGTTATTATGATAATGAATAGTTATCCTTGACACAAGAACTTCTGGGAATGTCCTAAGAACTGAGGATACTGCTATTAGGTGCGCAACTAAATTCTCGCTGTTTTTTTGATGAAAATGCAACTTTATTGTGAAAAAATGGTTACAAATGAATCATTCAAAATATTGCCCACCGCTAGCGACAACTTTTTCCCATCTTTCTGGCAGAGCTCGAATACCGTCACGGTAGAAGTGTTCGTCTTTTGAGGCTATCCACGAATCAAGCCATTTTGAGATGTCTTCATATGAGCAGAACTGCTGATTAGCCAGACCATGTGCCATCGAACGGAACATGTAATAATCGGACGGCGCAATATCTGGGGAATATGACGGGTGGGGTAGGACTTCCCATTTGAGCGTTTCTAAGTAGGTTTTAACGGGTTTGGCAACGTGAGGCCGAGCGTTGTCATGCTGTAGAATCACTTTTTCGTGCCTCTGCTCGTATTGTGGCCGCTTTTTGCGCAGTGCTCGGCTCAATTGCATCAATTGAGTTCGATACCGTTCCCCAGTGATGGTTTCGTTCGGTTTCAACAGCTCATAATAAATAACACCCCCCTGGTCCCACCAAATACACAGCAAAACCTTCGCAGCGTGAATATTCGGCCGAGCCGACGACGTAGAAGCATGACCGGGCAGTCCCCATGATTTTGTTCTCTTTGGGTTGCTGTAATGAATCCATTTTTCATCACCCGTAACGATGCGATGAAGAAAACCCTTTCTTTTTTGCCGCTGGAGCAGTTGTTCACAGGCGAAAAAACGACGCTCAACGTCTCTTGGCTTCAAATCATAAGGAACCCAAGTTCCTTGTTTTTGAATCATTCCCAACGCATGCAATCGCTTGGAAATGGCTTGGCGGGTAACTCCTAATGCTGAAGCAAGCTCTTTTTGCGTTTGGCACGGATCCTCATCGAGCAATGCCTCTAATTCAGCGTCTTCGAAGGTTTTTGGCCTTCCTTCACGCGAACGGTCGTCAGCATCGAAATCACCGTCTTTGAAGCGACGGAACCAATCACGGCACGTTGTTTCACTTAGAGCAGCATCTCCGTAAACTTTTTGGAGTTCTCGATGCGCTTCAGCCGCCGTTTTCTTCGAATGAAAGAAGAAAAGCAACACTTCCCGCAAATGACGATTATTTGGCACAAAATCAGACATTTTCACACAACCAAAAGTATATGACGCAAAAACAAAATCACTAATGTGTCAAAGCGGTTTGTTTACCATAAGTCTAAGCTTAGTTCATGACGTTTTGGTTATGTCACAATCGATCAGCACTTACTACTGGAGCCATCTCTTGAAAAACAGCGGGAACTTAGTTGCGCACCTAATATATCCTCAGAATGTATGCAGGACGTTCCCTGGATATTTGTGCTGTTAGGAATAGTGCGTTTTAAAGATTTAAGAGTTTCTTTTAAACAAGAAATATAGTCTGACACACAAAAGAGTCTTATTAGAGACTCAGGATTCAAAGATATTAAATATTTTGGGAGATTTTACAACAGAGAAAAGAAGTAATCATGATTTAGGAATTTCAACGAAGAAAGATATTTTGTTACTTTCATCAACAGGTTAAGAGCTAACCATTTTAATTTTAATGAGTCTCTTCACAGAAAGCGGTATATATAGATAGCACTAAGTGTGACTGTAGATATGAAAGAGAGAATATTGACTATATGATATAGTGGTGCAGTAAATATAATGAAGAAAGAGTTAAGTACGACGAAGGATTAAGGAAAAAAAGAATAAGGGACAAACACAGCATTATTATATGGATTAAGGAGGACAACTGAGATGCAGTCTGAATAACTTATAATTATCAAGAAAATAGGAGAAATAGTGTAACAACCTGAAGTTAATTATTCTTGTGCCACATAACCCTGAAAGACAGGTTGAAAAAAATATAAAATTTTATAAAACGAATTGGCCTATCTAACAAAATATCTATTGAGGTATAAATTTATTAATACATAATAGTTTATGTTATTTTATAAATAAAATATTTATATAATTATTACCTTATATTAAGATCTTCGTATACGACGTGACTACGTGCGTTCAGTTGGACACGGAAAGCGGAGAGTGGAGTAGAGAAGCATTAAAAGCCATCCAATCAGGATCAGGCGGAGGCCCGATTCTGATTGGGTGGCTCCAGACAGCACAAGATCTCCTAAGAACATCCCAAGGACGTCCTGAGGATGAAGAAACATCCCGAGGTCATATTCAGGACGTACTCTAAACGTTTCTTGGATACCTGTGTTGTTAGAGACCTTCTACAATATAAAGCAATTAGTCAAAAGCCGTAAGCAAATTGACCAATCACATTGGATTATTTTTTAAATAATCGACTGTGGTTGGTCAATTTGCTTACGGCTTATGACTAATTGCTTATTGTAGAAGGGATATGTCCGATTAATGATTAACATATTGTTGATAATATTAGAATATTTCCAGAATACTCGATAAATAAACTGAGTATTATTGATGAATTACGTATATTCTAAAAATATACGAAAAATAATATACTACGAAAAATATTATAGGGATATTCTCAGTATATTAGATATATCTATAGTATATTTAATATGAAAACAGTATACAGGGTGTGCCAAAAGAAGAGGGACGGTCGAATATTTCGCGAAATTTACATCGGATCGAAAAATTGAAAAACACGTGTTCAATATTTTTCAAAAATCTATCGAACGACACCAAATACGACCCCCCACCCCCACCCCCCCCCGGTGGGGGGGGGGCGGGGGGCAACTTTGAAATCTTAAATGGGAACCCCCATTTTTTATTGCAGATTTGGATTCCTCATGAAAAAATAAGTTACTTTTATTCAGGACATTTTTTTCGAATTGTTGATAGATGGCGCTGTAATCGCAGAAAAACAAATACAGATCAGAAGTCTGCAAACGGTCAAATTTGTCAGGACATACGCTTCGGAACACAAAATTAGTATTTTTGAAAAGGCTATCTAATGATGCTACAGTAGACCGATAGATGGCGCTCTAATTGCAAAAACAATTCTTTCTCGCAAGTGAAAGTATTTCTACAGCTAATATGAGGTTAACGTCTTTCGTTGATTTTGTATCTGACTTTATTAAAAAACTACGTTTAGCATAACCCAGGAACAACGACGTGGACGTAGTAGTTTTTTGTTCCCTTCGGGGTGCTTGTTTTTAGTGAGTCCCCTTGCCTCTCACTTATCGGGGTGCTTGTTTTTAGTGAGTCCCCTTGCCTCTCGCTTATCGGGGTGCTTGTTTTTAGTGAGTCCCCTATAAAATACACTAGGTAATAAAACATTCGAAGAATTATAAATTGACGAACCTCACTTTATTAACGATAAACTGTATTCTTGTAGTAGCTTTCGGCTTCTCTACCAGCCATTATTCAATAAGCAAATTAAATATAAACCTGTCGAAAATTAATCTATTGAAGTAGAAATGAAAATGTTTGTGATTCCATACTCGTGTAAACAATATTCAGCAAGATAAGAGTTCTTTTCTTTATTAATAAATACGTAAACAAAAAGTGGACTATTTTTGTTGTGATATTTTTTGCTTCATCCATTTGGTAGGTACTTTTTAAATGACACATTAGTTCAACTGTTTAAGTTGATTCAAGCAGATGAACCTTCATCTATAAAGAAAAATTTTACTTGAAAATGTGTTTTTTCTTTCAAAATGGCTCATCTTAATGAACAAGAAAGAATGTCATTACTAACGATGGTAGGCTGGGGTGATAGGAAAAGGTCATACTCGGAAGTAAGAGATATTTTCAATGATACTTTTCGAATTGGAATGGATCCTATCTCCAAAGGGACTGTGGAGAGAACGGTTAGAAGATTTGAAGCTACAGGCTCTATGAAAGATCGAGCTAAATTAGGAAGACCAAAGTCAGCAACAAACGAAGAAAAAGCGTTGAATGTTTTATTATCATTTACGGAAAATCCTCACAGTAGTCTTCGTAGAACTGCCCAAGCTCAAGAAATTGGTACATCTTCAGTCCGCAGGATTTTGAAAAGTAATAAATTGCATCCTTACAAAATGACACTTGTTCATGAGATAAATGAAGATGATCCCGACCGACGTTTAGAATTTTGTGAGGACATGATACTTAGAATAGATCAAGATCCAGACTTTCTTTACAACATTGTATTCTCAGATGAAGCAACATTTCAATTGAATGGTACTTGTAATCGGCATAATTGCAGGTATTGGGTAGACGAGAATCCACATTGGATGCGAGAGAGCAAAACCCAATACCCACAGAAATTAAACGTTTGGGCTGGAATAATAAATAATCATTTGATTGGGCCATTCTTTATCGATGGTAATCTTACTGCTCAAAGGTATGAAAACATGCTTCAAAATGAAATAATTCCAACAATAATGGAGATTGCTGGCGATAACTTGGAGCAGGTTTGGTTTCAGCAAGATGGTGCTGCACCTCATTACGGACGGAACGTTCGTAATTATTTAGATGAACATTTTCCTGATCGTTGGATTGGACCAAGAGGTCCGATCGAATGGCCTGCCACGTCACCAGATTTAACTCCACTTGATTTTTTCTTGTGGGGTTATTTAAAAAATCGGGTTTACGAAACGAAACCTCAAAATTTAGTTGAACTGCGTCAAAGAATAATTGATGTAGCTGCCCAAATACCTGCAGAATACTTAAAAAATTCCATCGAATCTGTTTACCATCGATTAGCTTACTGCCAGGAAGTAAACGGTGCACAATTTGAGCATTTACTACAGTAAAGTTATTGGCGGTAATCATGAGAGGCAAGGGGACTCACTAAAAACAAGCACCCCGATAAGTGAGAGGCAAGGGGACTCACTAAAAACAAGCACCCCGATAAGCGAGAGGCAAGGGGACTCACTAAAAACAAGCACCCCGATAAGTGAGAGGCAAGGGGACTCACTAAAAACAAGCACCCCGAAGGGAACAAAAAACTACTACGTCCACGTCGTTGTTCCTGGGTTATGCTAAACGTAGTTTTTTAATAAAGTCAGATACAAAATCAACGAAAGACGTTAACCTCATATTAGCTGTAGAAATACTTTCACTTGCGAGAAAGAATTGTTTTTGCAATTAGAGCGCCATCTATCGGTCTACTGTAGCATCATTAGATAGCCTTTTCAAAAATACTAATTTTGTGTTCCGAAGCGTATGTCCCGACAAATTTGACCGTTTGCAGACTTCTGATCTGTATTTGTTTTTCTGCGATTACAGCGCCATCTATCAACAATTCGAAAAAAATGTCCCGAATAAAAGTAACTTATTTTTTCATGAGGAATCCAAATCTGCAATAAAAAATGGGGGTTCCCATTTAAGATTTCAAAGTTGCCCCCCGCCCCACCCCCCGAGGGGGTGGGGGTGGGGGGTCGTATTTGGTGTCGTTCGATAGATTTTTGAAAAATATTGAACACGTGTTTTTCAATTTTTCGATCCGATGTAAATTTCGCGAAATATTCGACCGTCCCGCTTCTTTTGGCACACCCTGTATAGGAATAATATCATGTGCTATGTGGGAACGAAACGCTATCCGACGAAAAAATGTATATCGATACCAATGCCAGTTAGCACCACGATCGCACGATCGTTGAACAAATAAATTGATGAAACCGAATAAACAATCGTTTAACAATTATCGCATCCCACCTCGTTTGTATACTAGTGATACGAACAAAAAAACTGTTGTACGCGTATTCGACGTAAGGTTCGTACGCGACGTATCGTCGCCAATCGAGGTACCGACGCGACACGTTAAAAATTACCGGTCGCGATGCGGTGAATCGAACACGAATCCGCTCTTGCCGCTGTAGCGATCGCGTCGCGTCAATTCACGCGGATATCGAATCTCGAACACAATAACGGCAAGAAATGGGTCAGCCAATAAACCACTCGTCCTCGTTCATCGGACACCTGCGCGATCACTGGAATTTCAACGTCGTCGCGATCTCGACGAAGCAAACTGTTCGACGAGGCAAACGCCGCTTCGACAAGAATATTCAGCACAGCTTCGATCGTTGATCCGTCGTCCGTTGCGAACAATGATCCGGTGTCCGTAGCGAGGAACATATCGCGCGCCGTCGTAACAACGATCATATCGATCGTCACCGTCGGTCTAAACGGATAAAAATGTCGACGATCGTGACCATCGATACCGTGCAAGAACGACAAAATTTCGTCCATAATGACGCGTTTCGCGCCCAACGGAGTCGGCTGCGAGGAACGTCGCGATATCGCGTCGAATCGCGCCAGATTGCGGCACTGATCGCGCCATCGTCGAACGCCGATCGCTAGTTCGGGTATTGTCTTTTCGGCTATTCATCGCAGTGTACAATAAACACACCCGATCCGTCCTTGCTCTCTCATTGACGACGATTCGTCGTGCTCAAAGGTAACCGTACTTTCGCGTCGTTCTTCGAACTAACCATTCAAGCGGTTCGATTTCGGGAATGTGACGTATGCCGTGCGATTCGACGACCGGATGCGACGTCACGTCGATGACAAAGGAGTCGCAAAACACAGGCATGATGCGCGACAACCAGTACACGACGATTCGCCAGTGCGCGGTCGACACCACGAGCTCGGTCTCGAAAACATCGTTCGAACAAAAGCAACGATTCACTGGACACTGATTCGCGAATATATCGCGCAGTGCGATCAGTAGCGCGTATGCCGAATCGCGCGTATCGATTTGCGATCCGTCATCGCGATTGTACATCACGTCACCGATCGGACGCACTCGAATCGATTGACGATGTTTCCAAGGATACCGCGAGCGAGCGTGATCGTCCGTGCAATACGAGTCGATGCCGATCATGACGGTCGCTATGATCTCTTCGACGTCGCTCGGTTTCTGCGGCAGCAACGGTTTCCCAGAATCGCGGAGTGTCTTCGAGAGTCGAGCGGCATAGCGGATCAGTACTCGCACGACGCGTCGAAGTCTGAAATACGGGCACTGTTTTTACTCATCGAAGTCGGTAGACCGATTCCACAACGACCTCGTCCAGGTTGCGCCGTCCGTACTCGACATTGATCGACGAC